AGTGAGAAATAAACATATCAAGCATTGGGCAAGAACGGACACCTGGAATGGCACCAAACTAGATGGTATCCATTTCTTGGATGACATACAGACATACCTCTCGTCATGTGCAACCATGCGCACAAAACCGCCGGACCCAGACGTGCACCTGTTTGAGGCTACGGTCTAGCTTCGCTCGATCCGGTCTACGGGCCATGGCCATGCCATATGGCGCCAGATCCGGTCATTTCTCTTTATGAAAATTGCCCGTCTCAGGTGGAGCATCAGCTTCAAGATGCCCAGGATCACAAAATGTTGACGAAGCTCTTCAAGAGCAAGTCCAAAAGCTCCGATGGCATTGAGCAACGCTTGGGCTTGGAGGAGTTCCGCAAGCTCGTGGAGACCTATGAATTCAGGTCTGGAGTGGAAGGGGGGTTCGACGGACCGGAAGAGACTGGGGAGACTGGGTTTTCAGATTACAGTACTTAGGGATGAAACGTATACTTGTCCAGGGCATGAATTTGTCCAGGGTGAGGAAGGGAATTCTTGTGGGTGCTGGATTTGTTCAGAGAAAATGTTGGGTAATTATTCTAAAGCAAGGAGGCAACCGTGCAACCCAATAAATCAATCCGACTGGCTGGTTCTGAACTATGACAGTTAGGATGCATTTGAAGCTTGAACTGCTTGGTCTCTAGAAGAAGTTTGGATGTTTGGATATGGGGAACTCGTTTTTTCTTCCCTGTTTGGGAGCTTTAGGGGTTTACTCAGCCCAATGGCCCATAGATACCACTGTTTCGTTTCGCATGGACAGAAGCCAGCCATAGCCAGCCTGATTCAGGTCATACCTTCAATCAAGGGGTATTGACATCAAGAACGCCGAGACCTTCTTCCGGATGCTCGTGGAGTTGCAAGGGGAGACTACGATCGATGCCACCACCTTTGCGAACGCCTGTGTGCGAATGAAGGGTGCGGCCACCAGTATCGACTTGCAGACCGTGACTCGGTGGACGCACCGACCGCGTCCCACACGCCTCCCACTCACTGCACTACTTTGCCCATCGATGGAGTCCTGGGGTACCCATCATCCACTTACCCCAAGAGACCGAACACATCACATGGGATGTGGAAAATCATGAACATCACGTGTTTGTAAAGGAAAGGAGTCAGGGCGCAGGGGGGTTTAACGTCATCCACTTCCATGTGATGTGTTTGTCAGAGTGTTCTTAGATAGGGTCTTCAAACCAGCCCCCTGGTGTAGGACTCCGAGGGTCATGGGATATAGTGGCAGCTCCTCCTTGTCACTAGTACACTGCAAGCGGATCCGCATGTGGATTGGACCGTGAGGTGATGTTCACTACTCACCTGATGAACCGGGAGCAGCGGAAGTCCTTCGAATCGTTGTACAGCTCCTTGGCCAACATCGAGGCCAGCATCGACGCACAGAATGTGCAAGTCAAGATGCCTCCTCCACCGTTGAATGACTCGAATGCCACTCGTTTGCAGCTGTAGAACTACAGCCGGCAACGTCAGTGGCAACGTCTAAGTTTGGACCGGATGCCCTTCCTCAAGGGAACACATCCGAATTCAGTCTCTCCTTGACTTGCAACCTCACCGGACTGAGCGACGAACAGCGCGGTGCGATCAGCATGATTCTGCTTGCAGCAGTTGCAGTTGATAAGAATTTGGTTGCCTGGAAGAGTGTTGCCAATCAGATTGTGGGATAGTCGCTTCACAGTAGCAATCGGTTCCTAACTCCCCAAGTCTTTGCTGGACTCCTTGTGTTAAGTTGCTTGAGTTTAGTGTTTTTGCTCGCAAGAAGTGTTTTGCACCAATGTTGTTTGGAAAAAATGAAAGAAGTGTTTTGGTGTTTCCGTGGCCAAGTCTTAAAACACTTCCACAACCAATAACCATTCGACCCTTCTTCTCACCCTCAATACCCTGAAACACTACAGCCACCAGTCACAAATTCCCAAAGCGCAAGCACCAAATGCCGTTTTTCTTTTAACAAAAAAATGCAAGCAGTCTCACTGATCCAAAGATCAGCTCTTCTTGAACAGCTTTCGCAGGTCTTCAAACAAACTTCCTACAAAGTGTTTACAAATTTTTGGCTCTTTACAAAAAATTGACAAAGTTTTGGAATTGCAATTTTTTACCGAGTTTTTGCATTACAAAGTTTTAACAAAGTCTACAAAGTTTAAAAATAGAAATAACAAAGTTCACAAAGCTTTGGAAACTTACAGTACATTAAATTCTACGAAGTTTTTAAAAAGTATTGAACCTTTAGATATCTGAACAAAGCTTTGGACATTTATCAAGCTTTGAAAAGGTTTTGGAATTTTACAAAGTTGTTACCAAGTTATTGAGTTTGAACGTTTTTACAAAGCCTTTACAAAAGTTTTTGATGCTTACAAACTTTCTACAAAGTTTCGGATTTTTTTTCAATCTGTGTCAAAACTTTGTAAACTTTGTAAATACTTTGTAAATTTGTAAAAGCTGTGTAAGCTTTGTAGAAACTTTGGTGAAATTCTAAAACTTTGTAAACTTTCAAAACTCTGCAACTGTGTAAAGATTGAAAAAACTTTGCAAACTTTGTCAAAACTTCGTAAACTGTTGTTAAAATTGTAAACTTTTTAAACACTGAAACACTTTAAACTTCGTAAACCTTTGTAAAAACTTTGTACACTTTGTAAAACTGTGTAAAAACTGCGAAAACTTTGTGTAAAAAATTGTAAAATGCGAAAACTTTGTCAAAACTTTGTAAACACTTGTAAACTTTGTCAACACTTTGTGAACTTTGTCAAAAAGTTTGTAAACATAATCAAAAAGTTTGTAAACATTGCAAACTTTGTACACTTTGTACTAACATTTTGTAAACTTTGTAAACAACTTTTAGATGTTGTAGGCCTTCGTAAACTCTATTTAAAAAAGACGTTATAGACTTCGTAACAAATTGCAAACTTTGTAAAACGTTTTTAAACTTCGTAAACTTTGTCAAAACATTGTAAACATGTTGAAAGACCTTGTGAACGTTGTGAAAACTTTGTAAACTTTGAACACTTTGTAAATTTCCTAAAACTTTGTACAAATTGTGAAACTGTACAAACTTTGTAAAAACTTGGTAAAATGTAGAAAGAAACTTTGTAAACTTTGCAAATAAATAAACTAGCAAAACTTTGTAATCGTTGTCAAAACTTTGTAAACTTTGTCGAAATTCTGTAAACTTTGCAAGACTTCGTAAACTTGGCAAAATCTTTGTAAACTTTCCAAAATCTTCAAAACTTTGTAAACTTTGTAAAAACTTTGTAAATTTGTGTAACAAAAGGCAAATGTCGCAAACTTTGTCAGAACGTTGTAAACTTTGTAAAAACTTTGTAAACTTTGTAAAAACTGTGTAAACTATGTAAACTTTGTAAAAACTTTGTAAAACTTTGTAAAGTTCTGTGAAAGAAGTGTTTTTGCACGATTTTTTGCTTAAAAAGAAGTGTTTTTCATGTCATTTGTTGTAAACACAAGTGTTTTTTACAAGCCATTTGTAAACTTTGTAAAAACTTTGTAAACTTTGTAAAAACTTTGTAAAAACCTTGTAAACTGTGTAAAAACTTTGTAAACTTGAAAAACTTGTGTAAACTTCGTAAAAACTTTGTAAACTTTGTAAAAGCTTTGTAAACTTTGTAAAAACTTTGTAAAAACTTTGTAAACTTGAAAAAGCTGTTGTAAACTTTGTAAAAACGTTGTACAACTTTGTAAACTTTGTAAAAGCTTTGAAAACGTTGTAAACACTTTGTAAGACTTTGTAGGCTCTGTAAAAATTGAAAAACTGTGTAAATTCCGAACTTTGCAAGAACTTTGTCAAATTCCAAAGCTTTGTAAAATCGTTGTAAACTTTCAATACTCTGCCAAAACTGTGTAAACTGAACAAATTGCAAATTTTGTGAAAGCTTTGTAAACTATGTAAATACTGCGTAAAGTTTGCAAATGTTTGTACACTTTGTAAAAACGCCATGTAAAAATTGTAAAATGTGCAATCTTTGTAATTGTTTAATAAACTTTGTACAAGCTTTGTAAACTTTCAATACTTTGCAAAACTGTGTAAACTTTGTAAAAACTTTGTCAACATTGCAGCAACATTGTAAAACTTTCAATACGTCTTTAATTGATTTTTAAATGGTAAAACCTTTGTAAACTTGGTAAAAATTGGAAATTGTTCAAAACTTTTTAAACTGTGTTAAAAAATTGTAAACTTTGTAAAACTTTGTAAACTTGGTAAGCGGTTGTAAAACTTTGCAAACTTCATAAAATCTGTGTAAAACTTTGTAAACTTTGTACCAACTTTGAAAGCTTTGTAAAAACGTAGTGAACTTGGTATAAACTTGGTAAACTTTGTCAACACTTTGTAGACTTTGTGAAACATTTTTAAACTTTGTCAAACTTTGTAAGCTTTGTCAACCTTTAAACTTGCAAAACTTTGTAAGAACTTGGTCAAACTTTATTAAAAGACGTTGTAAAATTCGCAAACTTTGTAAAAAGGTTTACCAACCTTTTACGAACTCCTTCTTCAAATTATTCTTCAAAGTTAGAGCAACGTTTTACACAGTTTTTAGAACGTTTACAAAGTTTTATATTTTTACAAAGTTATACAACGTTTACAAAACTTTCACAAAGTCTTAAGAATTTGTACAAAGTTTGCAACTTTCGCAAAGAGTTGACAGAGTTGTTGAATTACAAGCAAATTTACAAAGGTTTACAACGTCTACAAAGCTTTTACCATGGCCGTTCACTCACCACTCACGAGACAAACAAACCTATGAAATAGTCCTTTGGGTCTCGTATGTTGCCACTAACAGCGCAAAAAAAACAAGACGTGTTTTATACCCTCTCTTAGTTCTGAACAACCAATTCTTCAGAGGTGCAAGGGTCAAAAACACTTCTTCTGCGCAAATTCCCCCGAAACAACGAACGACGGTCCCCAAGCAACTTAACAACTCCTTGGATTGTTCTAGTGTCAAGCTATAATCATAGAGGCCTGGCTTGCCGGTGACGATCTTGTTGGTCTATTTCGCGGTGGCCAAGAAGGGCGAGCCGCCCTTGGACGGGAAGACAGACACGGACCCTGAGGGGTTAAGTGCAGTGAATGCCGGCGGGAAGTGGGCCAGGGAAGTTCCTCGGTGGACGACGTGCGAGGATTGTGACACGACGTGCCGACGGTCGTTTTCCAGGCGTTGGGTTGTGGACGTGGGCAGCTTCTAGGATTAGGAGGACCATCCAAGACTGTGCATGTATTTTGTTTATAATTGTTGGCCCTTAAAGATACGTTGTAGTTTGAGATAGTCCATATTGGACACCCCTTGGATGGTGCAGGAATATGCATGGTTGGCGCTTTATCGTATGCATCTACAAGAGTTTGTATTTGTGTTTGGTCCGTGGTATGCCGTGTGTGGATTCTGTTTGGACTGGAGCTTGCAGCTGTTCAGAGCTCCCAAGCCAAGTACTCGCTTGGGGACAAGGCTTAGGCATCCCAGCATGTGCCCAACCAAACACTTGTTAACAAGGCCAGCAGTAAGACCAGCACATGTTTTCCGAGACCCAGTTGCAGCCGGAACTTCCACCAAAGAAATATATATATATACACAGTTTATAACATAGCATTATTAAGTATATATATAAAGATCTGTCAAATGACAACCAGAAAAAACATGAAGACATTAGCACACTAGGAGGTAAAAAGGGGTCATTACTCAGTCAGTCACTAGTTACCCTAGCTATTTCTCACAAGGGCTCCAATTATAATGAGAAGATTGCACACTCCGCACCCATGACATGATTTGTTCGAACCACTTTTTCGAAGACCATCCACTTTAGGAAGGACAATTCGCCAAGCCTTCAACTTGTTCACCAGTCCACTGGGCTCAGCTGGGCGTTCTACGGGCGCACGTCGCTTTGGTCAGGTTCATTGGAGGCTCACCTCCAGTGATTTGGCTTGCCGCATTCTGCGGGACATGGAGTTCAAGCAGGCCTAGACATCGAAGACCGAGAGCGTGTCCAGACGCGTGGAGGACCCCAAGTCAAGTCCACGCACCATGCATTGCTTTGAAAGGAGATGTTCAGCATAGGTACCGTGCGTCGCCATGCGTCGCCATGCGTCAGGCCTATTGGGAAAAGAATCTTTGGATCTCAGCCTACATGATGGTCGGGGCCCTTCACGGCTGTACCGTGGGCGAGGTGGAATCCACTCATCGCAAGGAGGTGCCCAAAACCAGAACCAACGACTCGGCGACATGTGGCGTAAATCAAGGACTCTTTTGCTAACGAGCCGTGGCACGCAACCCCAAACTGCCAGGGCATTGCGGGTGTTGTGTTGGTCATCATATGTCATCATGCTGTCCTTTACCGGAGCTTCGGGGGCTAGTCACTCTTGCGGTTGGAAACTGGGGTCGTTGCTTTTGACCCCTGGCCCGATGGCAGAACATGTGGGAGATGTTCTGCACAGGGTCAGCGGACCAATAACAGATGATTTAACATGAGCTTACCGCTGAAGAAATTGAGATTCATTGAGATTCTCTCAAGACCAAATGATATCAGGTACAGCAAGGCATTTGTTTTCAGCTGTGAGCTGTCCCATCCCCTGAGGTGGATGAGTTGATTGGGCAGTTGGCTGTGGCCGTGTCCGCCTCCCAGGCTGATGTCACTTGGGAGCGGCTCTTGTTATGTGACCGCCTGGCCGCCTACGCACGGAGCGTGGCGCACTTCCCCACCGCGGTGAAGGAGTTTGAATGGCGCAACGGCGCCTTCTACGAGATGTCCAAGGCGGCGGAGGCCGCCGGACGCCCGGACCCCTGCCTCAAACACACCGAAGGCCTACGAACCTTGAAGGTGATCTAGCGAAGAACGCGAAACCGAAGATCAGTTCGGCGGAGGAAAAAGAGAACGTTCCTTGTGGCATGAAAGCCAACACATGCCAAAACCATGATGTTGACGTATAACAATATACATGATCATATATATACAGTCTATATATTTAGGATATATCTATATTTATATATACCCTGCAAGTCCGAAGTCCTGGTTTAACGAAGTCAATTGAAAAGGAACAAGTTTTACTTGAACATCGTGTTTGTCGGAAGAAGCGCCCTTTTGTCTCATCCACACCAGCGTCGCCACAGGAGCCCACATAGATCCTGCCAGAATCGATGAAAAACCACTCAAAACAGTTGCCAAACTCAGTAAATCACGGTACGTTACCTCCTGGGGTGATGTTGTATGGGAACCTTCACATGTTCACCGCATATTCTAGGTACCTAGCTGCGGCTCTTGGCTTAGCCGCTTGCCATCAAAAAAATGTCAAAGCTGCCAGTCCTTGCCATGTCATCGTCGCCACTGCACATCCATACCGATCCTGCCACAAGGGAAATGCCAAGGACAAAACGATTTTAGAGCAAGTCTAACTCCATTCATGCTAGTGATGCTGCGTGGTTCTTGGCTTAGCCGCTTGCCATCCAACTGCAAATTCTTGGTTCCTAGCTGCGGCTCTTGGCTTGGCCGCTTGCCATCCAAATTCAGAACAAGAAGATGCTGCAGAATGAGTAACCAACCTGAATGGTACTGCGCAATCAGAAAGCTAAACTGTCCTGCGCATGCGTGCCTTTGCACGCTTCAAGCAGAGCCTCGCACTCTTGGCCAGGAACTTTTCCATGTGTCTGCCAGAGATTGGCACTTGACAGTTGACAGCTTCTTGATCATCCCGATGGTGTCTTCCTGTGAGAAGCAATGCGAGAACCTCAAGTTCAGTCCTGAGATGCTCAAATCCAGTGAGCAAAGAACAGTCTAATTGACCACTGAAACCTCTTCCAAAAGACCAGTGAAGCCTCTTCGAATGGGCACCTTTGTGCATGAACCTGGAATTAGAAGCTCAAGCCACTCAAGCCAAGTTCTCCTCTAGAGGAAAGACCAGTCAATGTCATCCAAAGACACACTTAGCCAAGAATCGCTCTCTCTTGGCGCGAGCCAAGAACCAGTGCTGTAGCCCCATCCTGACAACTCACTCAACAATGGTGAAGGGCCCTTGAGGTCTCAAATGGCCCTTCAGGTCTCAGGGGGCCGTTGAAGTCTTTAAGATAAGTAAATAGTGTTCAATGTCTTCATTTTTGAGATGGACAAGTTTAATGAGGTCATTGACTTGGAGGGTATATATATACATATGCATACCATAATGCATATAGAGAGAGAGAAAGAGAGAGAGAGAGAGAGACGTGCATAAGATATTGTCACTCAGGCCGTGCTCAAATTAGCCTTTCCATGATTGAAGGTTAGCAGAGCCAGCATATGTGGTCAAAAGAAACTAATAGTCACAATGAACGGGACATTGTGCAGAGGCAACGCACAAAAGGCCTTGCATGACACGTCCTTTCTGGAAGTTGTTGTCCGCGCACATTTCGCCAGCCACGGCAGGTTTATCAAGCATGCATATCAGTTCCATTCCTAAAGGGTGATAGATACCGGTTGGATCTTTTTCATGGATCCATGCACAATTTTTCCTGCACATTGATGCGTGGCCAGTTTTCATACATGAGCCGAGGATTGTTGAAGTGGCTTGGCTCAGCCCATGCTGGTTCCAGGTGGGGGCTTGGGACCGGTCACTCAGTCAGGCCATGACGAATGTCAGGTGGCTTGATGCGAGGATTCCACGGAAGTTGTGTATTGTAGATGGTATAGAGGTCCTACGTGTTTTTTTGGCGCGGACACCATGTTTTTAATTTGAAATTGGCTAAGATGTTTGATGGACCCGGTGGCGAAGAACAAACAACTGTTAATGGAAAACGGGATGAAACAGTTGACCCACATAGACGTTCCGGACGTTGGATATGCAATCACAACGGCGTTCCTCATTCCGCCGGGAGGTTCCGCACTTTCATGTTGAACATTCATCGGCAGTTGATTATTCTGGCAGCTGAGCCAACTGAGGAAAGAGAAGCTCCAGGACAATGTCGGGATTTGAGAGATTGCCAACGAACCTAAGATCAGTGGAAAGAATGCGGCCTTCCACATTTGCAGTGGATGTAGTGCCCCCAGAGCCTAAGGTGTGAAGGTTCTGTGGGAGGTTGGAATGTCCATTAGCACCAACATTCACAAACTTTGCAGTTGAGCTGGCAGGATCTACGAAGGACAGTGCTGGCAAGGTACAACTCATCCGGCGGAATTTTGCTAGCAATCAGGACCAACACTTGATCGGGCATCCTACCGTTACGTAGCCGTTACAAGAGTGACAGCGCTAGGACAGAAGGACTACCATACATTGTTCTATGGCAAGTGCTTTTGAGCTTCAGGTGGTGCTTTGCTTTCTGGCGCTAAGGAGACACCTGGGGCTACAATTTCCAGGGGCCTTTGCCCAAAGCCCTTTTGTACAGGAGCCTTGGGTTTTTCTGCGGAGTGGCCGCGGCCTCTTTCTCAAAAAGATGTCAGCGGTGTGTTGTGACCAGCTTTGTTTTTCACATCACGGGTCGGTAGTTTGCCGAGTCGAGACTATTTGCGATACATGTTGCGCCTGCCATTCCCCTTGTTTTTTACTGTCTTTTGAATTTTTGAACTTTATGTCCTTTACCTTTTGGGATCTTTCGGGGCTCCAGAGCCAGCTGCTTTGAACAGGTTTCAGCACTATATGTGCCCAAACACTCCTTAGATATGAGGTAAAATCATCTCCAATTAGGGCGATGACCAAGCATGATGACAAGCCTGCTGATGGTGCTCAGGAAAGGCTACAAGAACCCAAAGAAGTACGACGGGCAACTTGCGACTTGGATCGCAAGATGCATTCGTCCGACGGACAAAGGCAATTGTTCCCGTCAACCAAGGATGGACCAGAAGATTTAGTCGAATCTTGGGCGCAAATTGCAGTAGATGTATTTGGGTGACACTTTGTGTGCAGTGTTTTTGTTGCTGGGGTCATTTGCAAGTAATTTTCAGGATTTCCACGGCCTGAGTTGCTTGAAGCTGAAATTCAATCGAACGCAATGGGTGAGATTTGAACAAACGAAAGCAAAGGGGGTACGTGGCGTAGCTGTTCCTCGGCTGTGACTTTTCTACCAGGATTGGATGAAGGAAGAGGCTGCCACCTACATGAAGGAGATGTGACATTGACATACGGCCGTACGGCCGAAGTCGTTGCATGTGTTGCATTCAGGTGGTTGAGCTGCGCAGACTCGATTGAGATCGCTGAATGCAGGGTGCCGACGTTTGTATCTACAGCATAGCAACCAATAGCAACCCACAACCCCAGTGACCAGCAAGAGCTCGAGCATGATGTCCTGAACAGTTTGGGTCCTGGTGCACTTCCCGTCCCCGCTACGAGGAGGCGATGAACAATACGCAATGGTGCTATACACAACTAACTCTAATCATGCATGAGGCATGTTTGGTTAGATGTTGGTCTTCAAAGTGCCCTTGTTGAGCCTTGTTGGGTCTCATCAAACAGGGTCCATGGCTGACCCAGGCACTAGTTAGCAGCCTAAGCTAGTCCAACAATGTGCTGCAGGTATATGCCAGGCTTGTCCTCGTGCCAACAAACAGACAACAAGAACGACAAGAACCTGCAATGGACTGATGGATTGATATATAAGTCTGAATTTCCGTAGCACAAAACAGCGCAAACAGCTGAGTGGTTTCGGCGCTCCATTTTGGCCATGGAGTCTTACTGTACAATCGTCGATAAAGCCGTGTCAGGAGTTGCCCGGTGGAGGGTTGTCCAGACCCTCTCGGATTGCCCAGGATGATCCTGATCGATTCCCGAGGAAGGAGCTTTGAGAAGGTTCTGAGGGGGTACTCCGGGGTGAGAATTGATGGCTTGTCTTTTTTTGTTGCTTCATCATCGAACTCCAAGGGGGCAACACACTGTTGCGCCATCTGCAAGTCCAAAAACCCTGGAAAACTACCGCATTTGTGGTCCAAGATCTCGCCATTTTGTCATCTTTTATTTGTGTGTGGAGGCTTTATGTCAGAACCACAGGTGGCGCAATGCCAATCAATGCATACAGTAGGCTTCAACTCTGCAAATCTCACCACTGATGCTGTACTGCATGAAGTTGGAAAGGAAAGCGCAGGAAATGCTATACTGCATGAAGCAGAAAGCGCAGGAAAGGAAAAGGGAAGGAGGAGAGGGAAGGGACAAATCCAGGAAAGAAAAAGGAAAGGGAAAGGACAAGGAACGGAAAGGGAAAGGAGCTTTGGGATGCGCCATCTATAGATTTTACAGCCCTAGTTTTCGTGATGTTTAATGATTTTTTTGCGACAGTTTTTTGTGCTTCCTAGCTCAAAGATGGTTCAATTGACATGTGGTGTTGAGCCATCTATGGCTATGGTGGCTACCCCCTGAGTTGCGCCAACAACTTTCACCCCGGTGTAGTAGAAGCAGTTTACCAATTTCAGTTGTGCTGTCCAAGCATGGCCTACCTGCTAAGCTGAGCGCCCAAAAGGAAAAGGTCATGCAGACGGACTCTGCGGCTGACCGGAGGTGCGCTGTTTCTTTAGGACATGTGCTTCTCTTGCCAACACATCCAGTCAAAGAACTTGTCAATGTGCAATGTCATTACATGCAGGATTTCATAGACTGATAGATGATAGATGTTATTTGGTTCGACCGACACATGTACATGTACACTGTTTCAGTAGTCAAACATGGCCCCATCCTTCTCCACACTTCACACGTGGTGCCGACTTCATGCCCAACCACACGCGTCTTTTGGAAGCGACCTCTAGGGTGAAAACATCTCAAAACACCCCTTGCCCAACCATCCATCTATGCAATAGTTACTTGATGTTACTTACATAGGGGTTATGTTCATGGGGTCAATGTAAGCAACTCCTCCAGTCCTATGTTCGGTCTGAGGCCTTTGGAACCTTAGACCTTTGACCAGCGCCGAGGCCGCAG